AGGGAAATGAGCTGATCAGTGGAGTAGTGGGGAGGGATGGGATCGGGGTCCTGGTCTGGGTGGCCACTGGGAGCAGTGAGAAGTGGGATGTTGCTATGGGTGGTGGGTTCTCAACTGGCGGTTGAGAAGTGGGGTGCTGTTCTTCATGGCAACTGGGAGGATAAGAAGTATGGTTCCATGCTGGCGGCCATTGGGAGGAATGGGGTGCTGGTTTGTATGGCTTTTGACAGGGATGGGATCAGGGTGTTGCACTGGGATCACGGGGAGGGATGGGTTCAGGGTACCTCGCTGGGGGGCTTTGAGGAGGGTAAGGAGTGGGGTACAGCCACGGGTGCCCATTGGGATGGATGAGGTCAGGTCCTGCTCTGCATGGCCATTAAGAGGGTGCTGGTCTGGGGCAGGAGGGCTGTGGGCCCCACCATCTCCACCTCAGCTTGCTGGAGGGTGGGTGAGAAACCTTTCATGGTTTCTCTTCCTTGTGGCAATACGAAGGTGATCAAAGTCCAAACTTCTGCTGGGCAGCAGAGCAGGACAGCTGCCCAAATTCCAGCCTTTCATCCCCAGAGAACACAAAGAGCCCCGTGCACTGCTGTGGGTCTGGGGAGGATGAGCTGTCCCAGAGTGGTGGACATGTCCAGGGGCCACGGCGGACTGCAGCCCCTCACCTGCTGTCCTTCTGCCTTTCTCTGGGGCCACAGCTGGGGTGGGTGCAAATGGCAGCCGCCTGCTATGGGATGGGTCCTTCCTGCCCTTCGGATGGCTGTGGTATTTGCACTGTGACCATGGCCCACCTCAGTGCTCCCACCAGGCCATCCAGAGGGCCCCGGTGATGCTGCCCAGTGTGCACCCTGCCAGGAAGCCTCTAGATCCTGGGTACCGTTTTCCTCTGACGTATTCCTTCCTTCCACCTGTCCTTGCAAGCGTCTGCAGGGTTCAAAGGGTGTTCACCAATGAGGCTGTGGTCACTGGAAGCCCTTCCAGATGCCGACATGGCCACTTTCCAGCCTCCGGGCTGCAGGGCTGCTTCTCCATGGAATTCCAGCAGAAGTCCCTAATGCCCTCCCTTCTGTTCGCACAGGGAACGACAGCGCGTCCGCTGCCTCCAACGGCTCTGAAAACCTCTGGGCTCCCCCCAAGCACGAGCAATTGTGGCTTTGCCAGTGCCTTTGTGCCCTGCCCCACAGGGGAGGGGGCTTGAAGGGTGGCACCCCCGGCCATGAGGACTTCATCGCCCGGCCCGGCAGAGGTGTTTCGGAGGGGACCTGCAGCCTGGCATGCAGTGCGACCGCAACATGGCTGTGTCCAAGGAAGTTCCAGGCACGGATAAGAAGCCCAGTTGGGATTTGTGCCTCCAACAGGAACATTTAAGGGCAGTGCATGCAGCCCTTATTAGTGCTTTGAGGGTATCAGTGTGTCCTCACTGACTGCCTCAGTGGTACCGAGTTCACTGAGTGCCCCAGGCGCAGCCACTGAGACCCCGCTGCAGCCTGCAGCCCTGCTCCCCATAGTGCTGCCCTGAGGGGAGGCAGGGCCAGCAGATCCAGGTGCCCACAAGGGCTGGGCACTGCAGGGCAGCCCTGCCTGGGGGGCACGCAGTCATGGGAGGGGTCAGGGTTGGGTGGGGGTCCACGTTTCCCGTATCCCAGAGCTGGGTGTCGCGGGCCTGAACTCGATGCAGTCATTTCCCCCTATTATTAGAGCTTTTTTATGGGTGAGTTACTAGTGCTTTGCCACCGGCAGTGGCCTTAGTGCTATACAGCGTATAAAGAAAAGACTGTTCCGGTGCCAAAATGCTTATTGTTTAAAATGCAGATTTTTTTTTTTATTATTTTTTTCCCCAAAAGTAAACCAATATAGAGAAAACCAGATTGAAAAATAGCGGGAGCCCAGAGACGAGAGAAGGATTTGCTTTATTATTTAACCTGGGATCTGCTGCGGTGTGCTCAGCAGCCTGCCCTAAGGAACCTGCTTTGGGAGGACTCCAGAGGTTCCTTCCCACCCCTGAAATTCTGCAATTCCGTGGTTCTGTGCTCTCCAGACGTGGAAATGGAGCACTGACAGAGATCATAGATTGGTTTGAGTTAGACAGGAGCCTTAAAAGCCATCTGGTCCCACTCCCCTGCGGTGAGCTGGGTCACCCACCCACAGCTCCTTCAGGATGCTCAGAGCCTGGTCCATTTCTGAGCGTTTTGTTGGTATAATTCCTATTTATTCTGCTTAGATATTTCAGTACAGTGCATGCCTTACTGAAGATTGCTGCATTTCCTGGCCTGCTACTGCTCTTCATCATGATTATACCGGGCATGTCATTTCAATGTTTCAGAAGCAAGAAATTGTTAGTATAATAATTAGGGATGTGAATTACACCTGATTTGTGCCTGGTCTGCTCAGATATCAGCCGTGGTTTAGGTCTGGATGAATCAAGTCATAATTAAATCCATTTTTAATATTAGCAATGCCTGAAACATTGGTTGTATTAATGCAATATAAAAATGCTGTA